CGTTGTCTTACTCCCTGTTTTGCCGATCGGCGCGGGCCCTCCCCCCCATGGAATAGATGTTGGCTGTTTTTGGCTCCCTTTTCAAGCAGGTGGAGTCTCCCCCATCGGACGCTCAGTTGCAAACAGTCGCATCAAGCAGAGGTCTGGAGCCCCCCCCCCCTCCCCCCCCTTCTGCCCATTGTCGAAACGCCGAATAGGAGAAAGTTCACTGGCGGCGCGGGAACAAAAATCACTGGAGCAGACTGGGCTCGCTGATCGGCAGCAAGTCATGGGAGCCTTGTAATTCCATCTTTAGGGTGCATCAGCGTCGATAAGCGTCTGGTAATCGATGAGATAGCGTCGACTTAGCGCCGGCTAGCGTCGATTTAGCGTCGATTAGCGTTGACTAGCGTCGACTAGCGCCGACTCGCAAGGGCCAGCACGATGATCGTCGCTAAACAACCCGGATCGATGCTAAGTCGATGCTGACCGTCGCTAATCGGTGCTAGAGCGCCGCTATCTCGTCGATGTTCCAGACGCCCATGGGCCCTAATGCACTCTACAGACAGAGTTGCGAGGGCACACAAGACTCCCATGAGCTGCCGCAGAATCACCGTGCCAAAACGGAGGCACCCGACCGTGCACTGCGACGCCCTTGCGCGTGCCTCGCCGCGAGCGGCGGCCGCCGCGGCGGCGGCGGCGGCGGCATCTCTGGTGGCATTCGGGGCGCACGAAGGTGGGGGCCGGCTGGGACACGGCTCTGGGTGGGGGGCCGCTTCCTCGGAGGCGAAGTCCAAGGTCAGGTCAGGTCAGGTCAGGTCCGATGGCGCGCGGAGGCCGCACGCGCCCCACAAGTGGAGACATCGATGGAAAGCATGGAATGAAGCCCCCCCCCCTGAGACATGAAAATTCCAGGCAGGCTACTGCGAGGTCAACAAGTCCACGAACTCGTCCTCGAAACTTGCTAAGTCGAACACTCGTGTGCCATAAAGTACTTCTGGTACCGACGTGGCGTGTTTGCTACTTGAATGCTTGGTCACGTTATCTGTCCACCTTGGCCTCGGGCGTCCCTGGGACCGCTTGCCTGAGAGAGGGATCCATTTCTTCACCGTCTTTAGCCACGCTAGATTGGCGGCGAAGTCCAAGGACCCACCACCATGCTGTTTCGCCTGTTTTTCTTGCCTCTGTCGTGTTCGTCGTCTCGTTTCTCGTTGTGGTTCAGTTTCGTTTTCGTCGTTGTTGTTTGAGCGCCCCGTCTCGTCGCTCGCTTTCGTTTGGTACTGGCTCCGTGGGAAACGTTCATTTTACAATTTCAGCCTCGTTTCGTTATTCGCTTTAAGCGCCATTTCGTTTTAATCGTCGTTGTGGTCGGTCCTTAGATCCGAACCCTACCCTCTCCGATCAAGGATTCAGGCAACTCGATGGGCGGTGGGGGTAAGGTTAGGAATCCGTCGAACACGGCGAACGCCGAAGCCTGCTCCAGCCTCCCATCGATTCAGGAGAATCGATGGTCGGTGGGGGCAGGTTTCGTGTTTCGCCACATGCTTCCGCCCCAGGCGGCGCGGGGTCGTCTGGGGCTGCAGGAGCGCGAGACGTACGACAGGGGCGCTTCCACCGCGCTGGCTGAGAGGATGTCAGCCCCCGAGTTAGAAAGGGAGGACTCCCCCCGCGCTCCCAGCGGAGGGACATAATTCATTATTCGAGAGTCTTGAGACGGGGGTCAATGCCAACGGGGGTCAGCCAGAGCGGCGGATCTAGCAGGATGCTGCAAGCTAGGGTTGCATTGACCCCGGTTAGCACGCAGGATCTTGCAAAGCCTGACTGACCAGGGTCTGTATTGAC